CCGTAATAAGCAAATATTCAGTCTAATTATTAAACTAATGAAATTAAACGTGATCTGCTGAGCATAAATTAGCCACATTACGCACGTCTTATAAGTTCTAAGACAAAACGACAAATAAGGGTTCTTTTTAAACAAGAATATTTTTTGTTTTCGAAATTAATAAAAAATGTCATGTTGTATTCAAAGTTGAGAGACCGATTTTAAAATAATGAGCATTATATATTGTAGAATGAATGATCTAAAARTGATAACATAAAACGTACAACGAATATAAATCAGAAYTTGCATTCTAAATAATATATTTTTATAGCTTAACGATTATAACATAAYTACAMAATCATTAAATAATGACTTATAAAATCATAACAAAAATGTTAAGCCTAAAAAAAAATTTTGATGTTTATCACCTATAGCATTTATTATCTATAGACTTTAAGACATAAATAGGTTCCCCTAACTCATTATGTCGTTGCATGCAATATAAAAGTTTAAGCAATTTTAAAATGATTAAATTAAATAATCTACGATTAAACTAAACAATAAGCTCATGTTATATTTCACAATAGTTTCGTTTTTTGTAAAGCCCAATGGCCTAGGTTGCCGAAAATCATAATTAATAATAAAAATAAATATGTTAAATATTATATACTTATTTTTTTGTCCTGCAAAAAAATAATAGAATCTGTTAATTGTATCGAAATATGTAATACTTACTACTTAGTGTATACTTATCTTTATACAATACCTACATTTATTTTTAAAAAATATGACTAATTTGATAAGAAGTAGCAGGTACCTATTATACCTTTTTACTTTCTGGTTGAAATAATAAATAAATAATAATTGAGCGTTCCGAAATCATCTGTTTGGTAAAACGGTTTGTAATTGGTWTTTTTCGATCGTTACTGCGTGTATCATTCGTCATACAGTTATTTATACGTCGTTGAGGTGATAAATCGTTKAAAAATGAATTATAATCCTGTAAAACGTAAGGAATTTAAGCCGCTAAAACGGTCGGGATACAGCAATGGCGAGCTTCATCAAAGCACTATAATAAACGGATTTGACCAAGAACGTTCAAAAAAGACTCGGCGCAAAACACGCCACAGGACGAGAACCACTGAAGCAGTAACTTCGTCAAACATGTAAGTACAATTCGTTCACACCGCCATAGTCCTACATGCGAGTGTTCTTTTATTGCGATACGAATATGAAAATATTGAACCATGATGGTTTTTTTTTTTAAAGATATTTATCTGTATTCTTAAACAATCACTATTTATCACGCTGAAAATGGCATAAAATTGAACGAAGAGTATGGTTTAATTGTGTGCCTTTTTGGGTATTTGCTCGACAAATATCATGTGCTTTGTCAATAGGTAA